ACAGTCCTGGCTGATCATCCTACCACAGGAGGCATGGTTACGACCGGGCCGCTTGGGCGTCGACCCCCGAAGCCCTCTTCAGGTATACTAGTGGTATCCCAGTAGTAAATATACTAGTATATCTGGTATATAGATTGGTGTATCAGTGGTATATATACTAGTATATCAGTGGTATATATACTAGTATATAAGTGGTATATATAATAGTATATCAGTGGTATATATACTAGTATATAAGTGGTATATATAATAGTATATCAGTGGTATATATACTAATATATCAGTGGAATACATACAGTGGTATACATACTAATATCTCATTGGAATATATACTAGTGACAATCAGTGGTCTATACACTATGTCAGTGGTATATATAATTTGGTATATCAGTAGTATATATATACTAGTGACATATCAGTGGTATATATACTAGTGGTATATCAGTAATAAATATACCAATGGTATAAACTTACGGTATATCAGTGGTATACATACCGGTGGTAGACCAGCGGTATATATACTATATATATGGTATATATTTAAAAAAAATTAATCGAATTTTAACTTGTGGGATATGATCAGTGAAGAAGGAAACTGGGAAACTAAATCATATTTCTTTTGTTTCCCAGAGTTCTTCTTCACTGATCAAGTCCCACAAGTTTAAAATATGGTATATATATATATATAATATATATATATAATATATATTATATATATATAATATATATATATATATATATATTTTATATATAATAATATATATATATATATATATATAATATATATATATATATATATATATTTATATATATATTATATAAATATACCAGTGGTATATATATATACCAGTGGTATACATATACCAGTGGTGTATCAGTGGAAATATATATACCAGTGGTATATCAGTGGTATATATATACCAGTGGTGTATCAGTGGTATATACCAGTGGTGTATCAGTGGTATATACCAGTGGTGTATCAGTGGTATATACCAGTGGTGTATCAGTGGTATATATATATACCAGTGGTGTATCAGTGGTATATATATACCAGTGGTATATATATATATATATACCAGTGGTATACCAGTGGTATATATATACCAGTGGTATATCAGTGGTATATATAAAACCAGTGGTGTATCAGTGGTATATACCAGTGGTGTATCAGTGGTATATACCAGTGGTGTATCAGTGGTATATATATATACCAGTGGTGTATCAGTGGTATATATATACCAGTGGTATATATTTTATATATACCAGTGGTATACCAGTGGTATATATATACCAGTGGTATATCAGTGGTATATACCAGTGGTATATCAGTGGTATATATATATACCAGTGGTGTATCATTATAATAAAAAAAGCTAAACATACCAGTGGCATAAGAATGGTATATATACCAGTAGTAGAACAGTGGTATATATACCAGTGGTATATCAGGTATATCACAGAGTAACAAATATACTGAGCCTGTCAGCTTGCTGTTAGTAACTTCACTAGACTTTAGTGCGTATTTCTATAGTTTAGTCAAGAGAAGCGTTAAACCCACATGGCTATGGCGACTGGTAAAAGAGAGAGAATCAGCTTTGCTCTAAGTAATGAAATGATAACTCCAGTTCCTTGGAAATAGAGCCCCTCCCCTTAAGGAGATACTAGTGAGTAATACACAACAAATGATGTATTAATTACGGCATAAGGTTCATTTTATTTCAATTAAGATATTTAGTTCAAGTTTAGTTCCTTTACAGTGATGTCTCTCATGACGAACTTCTGGATCTTGCCAGTCACAGTTTTGGGGAATTCTTTCTTGAACACGATATAGCGAGGCACCTTGTAATGTGCCATCTGAAATAAATGAAACATTGAACATTATATATAAATTTACATAATATATAATATATATATATTATATATATATATATATATATAATATATATATATAATATATATATATATATATTGCTGTGGTTACAGGAAAAAGAGGAGGCAGTTAGGGTAAGATATAAACAGCTATTGGAGGATAGATGGCTAATGAGAGCATAGGCAATGGGGTCGAAGAGGTATGGGTAGGTTTAAAAATGTAGTGTTAGAGTGTTCAGCAGAAGTTTGGGGTTACAGGAAAGTGGGTGCGGGAGGGAAGAGGAGCGATTGGTGGAATGATGATGTGAAGAGAGTAGTAAGGGAGAAAAGTTAGCAAAATGAGAAGTTTTTACAAAGTAGAAGTGATGCAAGGAGGGAAGAGTATATGGAAAAAAGAGAGAGGTTAAGAGAGTGGTGAAGCAATGTAAAAAGAGAGCAAATGAGAGAGGGGGTGAGATGTTATCAACAAATTTTGTTGAAAATAAGAAAAAGTTTTGGAGTGAGATTAACAAGTTAAGAAAGCCTAGAGAACAAATGGATTTGTCAGTTCAAAATAGGAGAGGAGAGTTATTAAATGGAGAGTTAGAGGTATTGGGAAGATGGAGGGAATATTTTGAGGAATTGTTAAATGCTGATGAATATAGGGAAGCTGTGATTTCGTGTATAGGACAAGGAGGAATAACATCTTGTAGGAGTGAGGAAGAGCCAGTTGTGAGTGTGGGGGAAGTTCGTGAGGCAGTAGGTAAAATGAAAGGAGGTAAGGAAGCTGGAATTGATGGGATAAAGATAGAAATGTTAAAAGCAGGTGGGAATGTAGTTTTGGAGTGGTTGGTGCAATTATTTAATAAATGTATGGAAGAGGGTAAGGTACCTAGGGATTGGCAGAGAGCATGCATAGTTCCTTTGTATAAAGGCAAAGGGGATAAAAGAGAGTGCAAAAATTATAGGGAGATAAGTCTGCTGAGTATACCTGGTAAAGTGTATGGTAGAGTTATTATTGAAAGAATTAAGAGTAAGACGGAGAATAGGATAGCAGATGAACAAGGAGGCTTTAGGAAAGGTAGGGGGTGTGTGGACCAGGTGTTTACAGAGAAACATATAAGTGAACAGTATTTAGATAAGGCTAAAGAGGTCTTTGTGGCATTTATGGGTTTGGAAAAGGCGTATGACAGGGGGGATAGGGGGCAATATGGCAGATGTTGCAAGTGTATGGTGTAGGAGTAGGTTACTGAAAGCAGTGAAGAGTTTTTACGAGGATAGTGAAGCTCAAGTTAGAGTATGTAGGAAAGAGGGAAATTTTTTCCCAGTAAAAGTAGGCCTTAGACAAGGATGTGTGATGTCACCGTGGTTGTTTAATATATTTATAGATGGGGTTGTAAGGGAAGTAAATGCGAGGGTCTTGGCAAAAGGCATGGAGTTAAAAGATAAAGAATCACACACAAAGTGGGATTGTCACAGCTGCTCTTTGCTGATGACACTGTGCTCTTGGAGATTCTGAAGAGAAGTTGCAGAGACGGTGGATGAATTTGGTAGGGTGTGCAAAAGAAGAAAATTAAAGGTGAATACAGGAAAGAGTAAGGTTATGAGGATAACAAAAGATTAGGTGATGAAAGATTGAATATCAGATTGGAGGGAGAGAGTATGGAGGGGGTGAATGTATTCAGATATTTGGGAGTGGACGTGTCAGCGGATGGTCAATGAAAGATGAGGATGAATCATAAATTGATGAGGGGAAAAGAGTGAGTGGTGCACTTAGAGTCTGTGGAGACAAAAGACTTTGTCCTTGAGGCAAAGAGGGAATGTATGAGAGTATAGTTTTACCAACGCTCTTATATGGGTGTGAAGCATGGGTGATGAATGCTGCAGCGAGGAGAAGGCTGGAGGCAGTGGGGATGTCATGTCTGAGGGCAATGTGTGGGGTGAATATAATGCAGAGAATTCGTAGTTTGGAAGTTAGGGGGAGGTGCGGGATTGCCAAAACTGTTGTCCAGAGGCTGAGAAGGGTTGTTGAGGTGGTTCGGACATGTAGAGAGAATGGAGCGAAACAGAATTACTTCCAAGTTTTGTAGTGGAAGGAAGGCGGGGTAGGGTCGGCCTAGAAAGTTGGAGAGAGGGGGTAAAGGAGGTTTTGTGTGCGAGGGCTTGGACTTCCAGCAGCATGCGTGAGCGAGTTTGATAGGAGTGAACGGAGACAAATGGTTTTTAATACTTGACGTGCTGTTTGAGGTGACAAAGTAACTTTTGAAGGGGGTTTAGGGAAACGGGGGGGGGGGTTGGGTCCCTAAAAATTTTGGAAAAGGGGGAAAAGGGGTTTTTTTCCTTTGGACTTACGGAAGGTGAAGCGATTTAAAAATTAGGAAAGGGCCCCCCTTTTTTTTTAAACTTGAGGGTGTTGATGGGAAATTTTTAATTTTTTTCCCGGCCCCCCCCTTTGGGTTTGGAAATGGGCCGTGTGAATAAAAAATTTAAATTTTAAAAAAAACTTATTAAAATTTAAAATTATAATAAATACTTAAAATTTTTTTTTAATTTAATATTATAATAAATAAAAATAAAAAAATAATATATAAATATAAAATATAAAATATTTTAAATATATAAAATTTTAAATCTAATTAAATATATATATATAAAATAAATATATATTTTTGTTATAAAATAAATTTTTTTTTCAAAAATTATAAAGTTAAAAAAAAAAAATTTCTTTTTACATTTTATAAATTTAAAAGAAAATTATAGCCCTTTCCCCCCTTTAACACCCCTTTACCCCCCACGGGGGGCCCACGGGGGAAAAAAACTTTTCCCTTCCCTTTTAAATTTTTGGGGAAAAAAAAAAGCAGGGGGGTTAAAGCCCCCTTTTTTGTTTGGCATTTTTGGGGTTGGCCTTTAAAAAAATGGCTTCCCGGGAAAAATTCTTTCATTTATAAAGAAAGAAAAAAAAAAACAAAAAAAAAATAAAGAAAACCCAAAAGGGGTTGTTTTTAAAATTTGGGCAGGAAGGTATTTACCTTTTGGGTTTTAAAAAACCCAAGGGACGTCCCTTCTTGCGTTTAAAAAAAAACCCACAACCCCCATCGGAAAAACCCCTTGGGGGTCCGTTTTCCCAACCTATTTCCAGGACGGAATACCCCCCTGGGGGGTTGCGGTCTACCCCCCTCCCTAACCACGGGAAACGGTATACCCCCCTTTTGGGCGGTTGCTCCCCAAACCAAAACCTACTACCACAGGAGGGTAGAAACCCCCCCTGGGTGGCTGCTGTCTCCCAAACCTACAACCACGGGAAGGTAGAAAACCTCCCTGGGCGTTGCTGTCTCCCCAACCAAACCACGGGACGGAAAAAAGTACCTCCCTGGGGGGTTGCTTCTACCAACCTAACCACAGGGGGTAGTACCCCCTGGGGGGTTGCTGTCTCCCAAACCCTACAACCCCCAACTTATTACCCCCTGGGGGGTTCCCTGTCAAACCCAAACCTATTCCCACAGGACGGAAAGTACCTCCCTGGGCGCTGCGTCTACCAACCTAAAACCACAGGACGGTAGTACCTCCCTGGGGGGCTGCTGTCAACCAATCTACCCCACAGGAGGGTAGTACCCCCCGGGCGGCTGCTGTCTCCCAAATTACTACCACAGGACGGTAGCCCTCCCGGGGGTTGCTGTCTACCAATCTACAAAACCACGGGACGGTAGTACCCCCCGGGGCGCTGCTGTCTCCCAAATTACACCACGGGACGGGAAGAAACCCTCCCTGGGGGGGGCGGCTGTCTCCCAAATTTCTACTACCCCAGGAGGGTAAAACCCCCCGGGGGTTCTTTCTACCAATCTATTTACCACAGGACGGTATACCCCCCGGGGGTTGCTGTCAAACCAAATCAACAACCCCCGGAGGGTAGTACCTCCCGGGGCGGCTGCTGCCCACCAATCTACTCCCAAACAGGACGGAAATACCTCCCTGGGCTTGCTGTTCCCTACCAACCTACTACCAAAACTTAAAATTGGGGGTTTTTTTTTGTTAAATTAAAAATATTATTGGGGGGTTTATTTTAAATTATAAAATTTTTAATATTAATTTTTTTAAATATATTAAATTTAAATATATATATTTGTATATATATTTTATATTTTAAAATATAAAATATATATTATATAATTTAAAAATAAAATTAAAAATTTTAAAATTTTAATATAAAAAAATTTATAAATAATATTATTTTATAAATAATATATAAAATTTTTTTAATTTTATATATATATATATATAATTTTATATATTTATAAAAATATAATATAAATATAAATATAATAAAATATTTTAACTATTTTAAAATAAAATATTTTATATAAATAAAAATTTAAAAAATTTAATAATTTTAAAATATATATAAAAATATAATATTATATAAATAAATAAATATAAAATTATAAAAAATTTTAATATATTTTTATATATATATTATAATATTATATATTAATATATTAAAATAAAAAATTACTTTATATATATTTTAAAATTTTATATAAATATATATAAATATAAATAAATATATAAAAATATCATATTTTTATAAAAATTATATAAATTTTAAATATTATATAAATATAATTTTTTATAAAATTTTAAATTTTATATAATATATATATATAATAAAAATTATATTATATAAAAAATATACATAAAAAATATATATATAAATAAAAATTTTATTTATATATATATATATATATTATAAAATTATATATAATTTATATAAATAAAATATAAAAATATATATATATATATAAATAAAATAAAATATATATTTATAATATATAAATATAAATAATATTATATATATTTATAATCTATTAAAATTATTTATAAAAAAAATATATATAATTTTTAATATATATAAAAATATATTAAAATTTATATATAAATATATATAAATATATATAAATATATATAAATATATAAAAATTTATAAAAATTATATAAAAATTTAAATAATA